CTCTCTCTCTCTCTCTCTTCTTTATTATATATATATATGTACATATTTTTCTTAAAAAAGATTTCGTAAGCAGTGGCTTGATAGAGACCAGATGATATCACGATAAAGAATGTGTCACGAAACAAACAATGAAAAATAGAAACAGAGAGAGAGAGAGAGAGAGAGAGAGAGAGAGAGAGAATCGTTCGAGCATGTACATATCTATCTATACTTGGTTACAGGACTTTCCGTGTGCGGTATATATACGGGGTGGGCGACAGGCGCCGCGATATCGATCCCACGCAATATCAGCGCGCCTTGGCTCAGTGTTCCGACGCCGGCGTCCCTCGTGTTCCACTTGCTCCGGTAGTATACGACTGTCGAGAGACGCGATTTATCGTGAGTGTTCACACAATAGTGTGCGTATTACTCATACGTGTGTACGTAAGTGCGCGCGCGCGCACGTGTATACGTGTATTCACGCGTGTAAGCGTAAGCCATGTACCTCCATCCAATCTTTATTGAATCATTTCATTAAGAGAGTATGAATATAGTCGCTTGTGTAAATTCACCAATGGTCCGCACAATGCGATGACGTTCGGTTTATTTGGCACCGGCACGCATCGATTACACGCGCGGTATCAGTTCGCTAACGTCTACGAGGTGTTCCGGAAAAAGTGAACACCACACGCGTAACTTTTCTGCACGAAACGTTGCCTACATCAGCAATATATCAAAGCTGATGAATGAGCAAAAAATTTAATAGCATACTGCGATGGGGAGATAATTTTCATAAGCTTCGATCTACACAATAAATAAAAGAAACAACGAACGTTTTTTGTTGCATAATTTATGTCATATTAACGATTTCGTCACGATAACTATTAAGTTTAAAATTTGTATTGATGAGTTATTAATAATGTCAATTTATAAATGTGTTTGTATTCAAAAACAAAAAGATAAAACGTTCCACTTCAAACTGTTATAAAAAAAGGCATCCGTTCAATTCTTTATATAAATCTCTTTCGTATTTCTAAAAAATGATAGAATCAAAAATTTTATTTCTCTTCTCTCTTCTCTATCTCCTTACTTTTTATTTTAAACTGTGTTTGTTTATGGATAAAAAACGAAACGGAACTAGGAAAAGCTAGAGAAAAAGTTTGAATTATCATAGTTTGAATGTTCTGTGTGAGCTTTGTGAGAACTTTTTGTCACAAAAGTTTACTTTTCATTCACGAGAGTAACATACGTTTGTATTGAATGGCATTAAGAACGATTCTTTAGATATCGGCAATATCTTTTAATTGCTTCAAGAAAAATGAAAAGATTTTATTTGCGAAAGATTAACGTGTTATATAGAAAAATTATTTAAAAAATTACGTAGAATGCAGTTTCCTACGAAACAAAAAAAATAGAATTATCATAGAATATAGATACTTCTAGAAATCATTAATTATTTCTAAAGAATTGATAAAAATATGTATAAAGTTGACAAAATTTATATCATAGCTTTTATAAAATATATACATTCTTTTTAAAATGTATTTCACGATTATAGTTTGACTTTCAGTAGTATAAGAGGAATCTGACACTCTCGACCGAACGTCATGTGGGGCAGAGCAAATATGGCTGCTGTGATCTTTCTTCTAGGATGGTTATACGTTCTCACTAGTGCAGAAGGTATGTTCTTCTATTTATGTACAAAATTTAAAAAAACTTCGTACATAAAATGTTTGACGAACAAATAGAAGGAGAAATTAAAGAAAATATTTTATTCAATATTTAAAAATATTTTGTTTTACACGATATTAATAAATATACAAAATTTTAGATATTTCCTTAATTTTTAACAATACTGACGATAAAAGTTTGTAAAATTATTTGTAACGATATATACTTTTCACGTATGTTATAACACGAAATGTAATATCCTTGAATTGATTGTAAATAATGAGAAAACTGTCAATCGTCAGCGAGCAATGCTGAGGTAACGTCGGCCGACGCCGAAGCGGAAACCATTCTTGAGCGAGCAGCCACGTGGCTATGGAGTCAACGGGATAAGGACGCCGGTTGGGGTAACGACACACATCGAGTACTCCTGGTTCTTCGTCTGGCCAATATTTCCCGCGATGATAATGTCGCACCGCCGGCGCCTCTTGAATTGCAACTCATTGCCAAGCAGATGGAACTAGAAATCGTGCTCTTGCTGTGGAGGTAAATATCTATGATAATTGTTTTAACCACTCGATACAAATATTTTTACAAAAATGCTTTCTTCTTTTGCGTTTAAATAACATTTTATTGTGTTTTAGAAGACAAACTTATATTGACGATGTCGATTGTTTAGCTATATTTAAAAAGGAATTTACTTCCACATTATTATTTTCAAAAAAACTCTTTCTCAATTTTAATATCAACGCGATAACATTGCGGTGCAAATTATATAAAAAGGATAACTGATTACTATATCACTGCTAGAAAGCTTATTTTTATTCCAGTTATTTAAAAATTCTGACACCGAGTAAACTCTCGACCAAAAAATTTAGAAAACTAAACTGATATTTAAAATAATATCTAAAAGTCTAAGATTATTTTTCCTATACAATGACAATGTTTCGATCGCGATGAAAACGAATAAAATCCGTAGAGTCGATCTCAAAATCTCGACATCTATTACTTAAAAAGTGACACTTTTACATTCACCGCGATTTTGTGCCTCAAGGAGCTTTTTCAATGTCTACGTACAATATTATTAAAATTATACGATATAAGTGAGTACAAGCGTTAATAAGAGCATAATAATTTCTGTTGATGTATTATAGATAAGACAGACCGACAGAGGAGAGGAAGGGAGAATGACACATTTTCGTACGCGTACACTTCTATACGCACAAATTGCATTTATTAAAGTCTGCGAATAGCTACCAAAATAAAAGAAGTAAAACGTAAACAACATATTTGTCGAAATGCATATATCAAATTGTGACCCCAGGCATAAGAAAGGTACCCTGAAAGAGTGATCCCAAAAGTCGCCTCTTTTTAGTTTCTCGATATTGGAAATGTGTGCCAAATGTTACCTTATAATAAGACATCAATCACAAAAAATTTTTAACTGAGGTAAGAATTAGTTCTGGACGTATGGGAGGTCAGAGCAGTCAAAATTTATTAACGTGTCAGCTCATGCACTTTGAAGCATGAGTTTTTATGTCAGTGCAAATATTTAAAACTTCGAACCAGAGGTTCTGCTGATAACGAATTTAAAGTTAAATTTTTTTAAAATGGCATATACAAAGTTTTAAATATTCGGACTGCCATATAAATTCGTGCTTCAAAGCGTATGAGGTAACACATTAATGAATTCTCATCTCAACTTTAAAATTTTTTATGATTAATGTCTTATTATAAAATATTCTTGAGCACACATATCAATTTCAATATCGAGGAACCAAAAAGAGACTAGAGAACCACCGATCTTGGAGTCACTCTTTAAGCGGATGTGTACATAAATTTTATTACTGCATTTGATTCTCTTATTGAAGACTTTTTCAACGGTATCTCACACTTGGGTGAAAGCCCTGGATGAGGCAATCGCCCGAGTAGTGTTGCAAATGACTAAGTTTCTTCCTGACTCCACGACTTGCAAGAAGGGTACTAGGGCCGGCTTTTAGCCTCTGGGGCTCGATCATGAATCTTTTCCTCGTAAATATTAAATTCTTCAATGAAATTTTCCACTCTTCACGAGTTCACGCTAGAGGAAAAGATTCATGATGAAGCCACTGATATAGGACTCGGTTGGTGCTGCTGAACCATAGTATAACTAGTACGTTCACTCCGTCATTTGTAAGGTTTGACTTCAACCCCTTCTGCGCATTCGTCATTATTTTGGCCAGACCAATGTGAAAACAGTTGTATGTGTGACGGTATAGCTTTGATGAATACATATACATAAACACAAACACACACGCCGCTGGATTCTGACCGAAGCCATGGTGGAATACCACGTGAACGGGACCGAAAAGATGAAAGGGCCGACGGAGAGTGAACATACTAGTTATATTATGACTGAATTACGCTCATGCCGGTGCACAAGAAAGTTGATACTGGAACTGGTGATGCTCTCTTAGCTGTGCATTACAATTTTTTTGTTTGTTGAGTTTGTACCACAATCAACAACAACTGCCGTCTGCAACACTACTCGGGCGCGAGATTGCATCATTTGGCCGCGCTGCCCTAGCGGAAAAAAATTCTATAAATAACTACAAAAATTGACTTGAAATAGAAATTTGTAGAAATTTTTATATCTTCGTTGAAACATTTATTTCTTTGTAAAAATATCTATAAAATAGTATCACAAATTACAACGTTCTCAAATCAAGAAATTATTGCAAGTAGTATTTCATGAAAATGTACAATTTTGTAAAAATTAGTACAAAACTTTACTAGTTTTAAAAATTTGAGAAACAACGAAATCTTAAAGAATTAAAGCATCTGCTTACTTGTAGAATATTACAAAAATTAACAAAAGTGTTTCAATTCTAGCATTTTTATGTTGATTTTTATAACACTTTTTAAATTTACGTAGAATTTCTTAGATTCTGGCAGTCATATATATTTAATTTTTTTGTAGAATTTTGTAGAATTATTTCCGGCAGGGTGTGCTTCAAAACACAGAAAACACAGTGGCGTCTTCAGAAAGTGGTGCGCTGCACTGTTTCTCTGCTGGCACAGTGACGCGAAAACCTGACTTTTTCGGTTATTTTTAACCTTCCAGGTTTCCACTTTCACCCAAGTGTGAGGTACCGTTGGAAAGGTCTTGAATAAAAAAACTAAATGCAGCAACAAAATTTATGTGCAACACCGCCCGAATTTGTTTTTACATATTTAATACTTCTTAACTTCGATCCACCATGATTTGCGCGCGTGCGTGCGCGTGTGTGTGTGTGTAAAATTCTTGCAAAGATGTTCTTTAAAGGATTAAACTCATAATGTATGTATATGTCCTGTAGAGTTAATTTTCATTTATTAATATAAATGTACTGGAATGTTTACAGACATCGAGAGGTCGGGTTTTCTCCGGTGCAACTGGCACGCTATACATTGGCTTTGAACGTGATGTGTATGGACCCAAGACAATTTCACGGTCACGATCTAATCGGCACTTTGCAACACCATGAGCCACCGACCGATTACGATTTCGCGCTGACCACACTCGCAGCATGCAGTGCTCAAGCGCACGTACGCAAACGGCAGATGCGCCGTCTTTTGGATATCGCAAACGCTGCGCAGGATCATAACGTCGGTGAGTTGTGCTGTCGTTTTTCATTAAAAAATTACCATATTAACGAAAATAATAAAATCAAATAAAAAAATTAATAATGACGTGTCTTACAATTAGTGCCTGCCTCCCCAAAGATACACAATTTCCCCCAAAAATCTGGTGATGCGCAGAAGGGATCGTTCTTTTGTCATTCGTGGGCGTGCAAAATTATAGCTCATTTGTGGTCTTTAAATTTTTTTGTTTAAGAACTATTATTATTATAATAACTTCGACATTTTCATATTAGAATTTTTGTTTTCAAACGTTATAAGAAATTTATTATTAAAATATTTATCGTAAAGAATTTAGAAACACATAATATACATGTGTAAATAATATAAAACACACAAGTGTAGAAATGTAAACAGAAGTAGTGTATAATATTTAAAATTACATATTTTAGATTTATGTATATTAGTCAAAGTTTTAACAGATCTCAAACAACCTTTACATAAAAACTTTTCATATAGATTCTATATTTTTCAGTCGTTTAGCTTCCGGATGGTTGCCGCGTTCGTTTGCAGTGTGATGCCGACGTTTCGCAAACATTGCAGTTGGCATCACCAGGGGTGGAAGACTCTGACACTGAGCTCCCTTCAGTTGCGGTAGTCCTTAAATACTCGATCGTGTCCCCACTCTTGTGGAGGGGGTGGGGAGGAGGGGGAGAAGCCAGAGGGAGAGGGGGGAGACAGCCAATCGGGGCGTTGTCGGCTGATCAATTAAAAAACCGGGAGAGCGGTGTGCCCAAAAGAATTCGGTGATCAGCTCTTTAGTCCACAGAGCACTCTCAATCTCGGAACCAGCTGCCCTGGACGGAGAATTAAACCACCCCTACCGACCCCTGACAAGGAATGGATACAGTAACAGAATCATCAACCGCACAATCCAGAAGCTGACAAACAAGGAACCCAGCCTTAACAACACCAGGACGCCAGAAGCAGAGAAAGAGAAGAAAAAGGCGGTCGTACTCCCGTATCTCCGAGGCACAACGAACCGCATCAGCAGAGTTTTGAGCAAGATAACATCAGAGTGATTTCCAAACCACACAACAAGCTCTCTCAATTGCTCCCCAACCTCAAGGATCGGAGATCCCATTTCGCAGCCCCAGGGGTTTACAAGATCCCATGCGCTTGCGGAAAAGTGTACACAGGAGAAATCGGGAGGAAGATCAGTACACGAATCAAAGAACACCAGCGATGTACCAAATATGGCTACTTCTCACAATCAGCCCTAGCCGAACACAAGATTGAGACCGGACACGCCGTTCAGTTTGACAAAGCCACCATGCTGGCCCCGTTCCAAGGCTATTTCGCGCGAAAATACCGCGAAGGCCTTGAAATCTTGAAACACCCTGATAAACTGAATCGCGATAAAGGTTAGGTTATCAGATTAGCCCGATATGGCACACCGCCCTCCCGGTTTTTTAATTAATCAGCCGATAATGCCCCGATTTGCTGTCTTCACCCTCTCCCTCCGGCCCTTTTCCCCTCTTCTCCACCCCTTCCACAAGAGTGGGGACACGGGACACGGGACACGGGTATTTAAGGACTACCGCAACTCAAGGGAGCTCATTGTCAGTATCAGAGTCTTCCAGTCCTGATAATACAAACTGCAATGATTGCGAAATGTCGGCACCACACTGCAAACGGACCTGGCAACCATCCGGAAGCTATTACGACTGTAGAAGACAGCAGCCGCGAAAGCTTGAAAGCCAAGATTCTATATTTAAATTTTATCTTTATTTTGCATTGCTTGGATTCTTTACATGACTGCAAATTTTTATGAATGAATAAAATTTCTAGATACTATAGCGATGCTGATCTTGGCACTGCGGTGTATCGTTCAGGATCACCGGCATCGCAATCTTCATCATATCGTTCGTAAACCATCAATGGAGTTGGCACGACAGCAAAGGCACGACGGCAGTTTCGGTGATCTGCGCAACACGGTATTGGTGATGCAAGCACTAGAGGAGGTCGAAAACGAACCGGCCGATAATTGGAACAGATCTGCGGCCTTAACCTGGCTAATCAATCAGCAACGACCGGATGGTTCGTTTCACGGCAATGTCCATGCTACTGCCGAAGCAATGTTGGGTGTTGCGCCGCGTGGACTGGCCAGTATCCGAGCTCTTGACTGCGGACAGGGTTTATCGGACAATTCACCATCTCGTCTGACTACAAGCAACAGTAAATCATTTATTTGTTATTAAACAAGGTTTCAAAACAGGCATTACAACCATTTAACTATTCTAAATATGGAGCTATACTGTATGCACAGCTCGACCGCGAAACGTAAGAAGCACGACCATTCTTTTGATGAAATAAATGCAGACTAAAACATTCGTGAAGACATTCTTAATAGCAAAGTTTAAAGTACAGAAAGTTATTATACCTTAACATCAAGAAAATTATGAAAAATGATTACTCCCTTTTAAAGAAAGACATTTTTCGTTGAATTATGTAATACGTCAATATAATTTCTACTCCAGAATAGATGAAATAAGTATAATGTCTTTTAAATTTATAAGTTGCAGATATTGGGACATCTGACAATCATAGCGAAACTTCTGTGCTGTCAGAAACAACGGGAAATAACACAAGCAATGTGGATACCACGCTCACCACGGCGCCGGTGCTTGTAAACGTGTCGTATACTTTGTGGGTTGGCAGCAATGTAAACGAAACATACAATTTGACAGTAACCGCCCCCAAGAACGAGACTTTCTACAGTGTGATGTTGTTGGCATCAAGCATGTCTCCTCATTTTCAATTTACTGCTTCCGAATGGCCTAACGGTCACTACGTTCACACACTGGCTGGCTACAAAGAGGAACCGATGTCCTATCACTACTGGTTACTTTACAGACTGCCCTCACCGCCGGAACCGTCCTCGCCGCCAGGGAACCAATTGGTTGCGCCTGGAGGTATGGATTTTTTACTTTCCTACTCTATCTACTCGACATTTTTTACGTGTAATTTTAAATAGGAGAAATCAGACAAATATGTCATACAAATTGTTAAAGTAAAATAATATGCAAAAAATATATACAGGGTGTCCCATTTTAACTTGGACAGTAAAATATCTCGTAAACTAAGACCAGCAAACAAAATATTTCAAACAAAAGTTGTGTATTTCTGAGGGGGTCGTAAGACGGTGTCATTAATTTGACCTTGAATAGTTACTTGAAAGTCACGTGCACATTCAATTTTTTAAATGGAACCCCATATTGTTTATTAGAATTTACTAAGGAACACTCTGACATACTCTTCACACGTGTGGACAAGGGCAACGTCACCGTCGCCTTGAACACAGACAAGACTAGAATCACTGCTTTCCGACTATGACACTTACACCATTGTCCACAAAGATCCACTGAAGTCAATGACTAGAGAGTTAAAAGTTTTACTATCACGATGGAAGAAGAAAAATTACATCACCAATTCAACTTATAGGTCTTTGCTGTCAACAGACAGTATTCTCTCAAAAGCATACGGATTGCCTAAAATCCGCAAACCTGGTTGCCCCCTCAGAGTTATCGTTTCATCTGTTAACAGTCCATTCTATGCAATAGCCTTGTTTCTACATAAAATCATTAATGATAATATTCAATTTCCTAAAAGCCATATAAAAAATAGTTATGAACTAGTGAACGACTTGATCGACATACAAGTGGAACCAAACTACCCATTGGCTTCATTGGATGTTGTCTCTCTCTTCACAAATGTTTCTATAGACTTAGCACTTAAAAGCATTTCCAAAAGATGGGACTCAATCTCTGTAAGGACATCCATAACCAGAGACGAATTTTTAATAGGTATCGAGCGTGTTCTCAATTCCACATATTTCAGGTTCAATAATCGCACTTACAAACAGGTATTTGGTGTCCCCATAGGCTCTCCCCTATCGCCAGTCATTTCTGACATTGTCCTGCAAGATCTTGAAGAGGAAGTTATTAAACAGCTACCTTTTACATTGCCATTCTATTTCAGATACGTCAATGACATCTTTCTAGCTGCTTCTAAAGAGCAGTTGGTTTGGTTGTGAAAGTATCCTTTCCCTATCATATCCTCGCTCCCACCAAAAGAATCAAAATTTTATCATTTAAATTCTCTTAGACAATAGCTACCCTCTACTATTTATATTTTCCACCATCAATAGCAGAATCAAAACACACATTTTTAACAGACAAAATACATTTTGAGATATTTAAGAGGATGGATGAAAATAAGCCACCCTGTATATTAAATTTTTCACTCATTAATTTAAAAAAAAATGGCGTGTATGTGACATGTTATATTATATACTACATTATATACTTACATGTAATGCAAAAATCTTTATTTCTAGAAAATTTACTTATAAAAAAAATTCAATTGAGGAATGTACTGTAGTATTGATATACTGCTCCACATTATTTAATTGTAATATGTCAGTAATTTTAATCATTTCTCTATACTTGCAGGTGTTGACAACTTGCAGATTAGCGAAGGAGAACATTATCTCTTCTGGTACAAGAAGCTATGAAGTGTGCTGCAAGAGGAACATAGAGAACAAAGTAATAAAAAGTAATTTAAAAAATGTAACACAAGGGGAAGGATAAATATTCCGAGAAATATTAAGAAGAAAGCATGATTATATAATTATATGTATTGAATGAGAAAGAAAGAGAAAGAATTAAGGGAAGAATGAATGAGTGAGTGAGCGAATAAATGAGGAAAAGTATGAGTGAAGGAGCGAAAAAAGAATGAATGAGTAAATGAATGAATGAATGAATGAATAAAACAGTAAATAAGTGAGTAAACAAATGAATGAGTGGATGAATAAGCGAGTCAATAGAGGCCTGTTCTTTATTACTGCACTACGGAACTAGTGCAATAAGTTAAAATGAAACAAATAGATTACCTCTCATTCCAACTCATTGCACCAGTGTGCACTAGTTCAGGAGTGCAGCAATAAAAAACAGACCCTAGGTGAGTGAGTAAATGAGTGAATAAGTGAGTGAATGCGAACAAGTGAGTAAGTCAGTGAATGAGTGAGAGAATGAGTAAGTGAGTAAGTGTGTGAGTAATGAATGAGTGAGTGAATGTGAACGAGCGATTAAGTCAGTGAATAAGTAAGTAAGCGAATGAGTGAGTGAGTGAGTGAGTGAATGAGTGAGTGAGTGAGTGAGTGAATGAGTGAGCGAATGATTGAGCGAATAAGTGAGAGTGAGGGGGAGGGAGAGAGAGAGGGGGTCTCAAAACTCTAAAGTGAGATCTAGTATTCACTGCCATCGCTATTATCAATATTTAAATAAAACAAAAACTTACGTTGCGTTAATTCGGAGGAAAGAAGGAGTATGTGAAAAGAAAAAGTAGACATAAGTATTTATAGATACACTCGATTGGCAATAACTTTAGAAATTCCATTTAATGGCTAACTTGAAAGACTTAGGGTACAGTCCCATGGAGCGTATTACGACATTACGTGTATCTTGGATTGCGCGTATCGAAAATCTGATCAATTGTGGACGTTCCGCTGTTTTCGGTATGCAAAAGTTTCGTTCCTATGTCCATGGAGCGGGATTCGCGTAAGCGGATCAACAGTTCGCAAATCACAAGACTGTTTAGAGGAAGGAAATAATGAAAATTGTTTGTGATTGTCTAGTCACCTAATCTGCTTATGCGACTTCCATGAGACCATAGGAACAAAAACCTCTCGCGTATGTACTGAAAACAGCGGAACGTCCATGATTGGTCAAATTTCCGATACGTGCAACCTGCGATATTCCATGGAATTGCACCCTTATTGTTAGTGGAATGAGACACGAATCGCTAGGTAAATATCAAGTGCATACATACATATACACAACATATAAGACAACTCGATGCGTTAACACTTTGAATGCCGTGATTGGTGTTGCAACTCAAAAACGAATATTAGACCATATTCTTTGGACGCTTCTATGTAATTTGAATATAATAATCTTACATCTTACGTGTATACGGTGCAATTAACTATGTTTAGAGAAATGCACAAGTATTTAGATGACCAATATACATTTGTTAAAAATTTGTTTGTCGCATATTATTGCACATGGAGGCTAAACTGTATGGCATATATACAGTTTAGATTTAGGCTAGCATAATATATATTAAGAGACAAAATGCATACGGCATTCAACGTGTTTTCATTGAAGCTACGAAACTTTTCTATGAAACCGCAGTGCACAAGCATACTTGTATTTGTCGTAATTAATTCATATTTAATAAAACTGAATAGTTGTAACCATATTTAGCAAATATCCGTTCCTGCTGTTCCCGATTCCAACTGTAACGCGTTATTTAATATATACCCTTATAAATGAAAAAAACTAAGACGACAAGTAAATAAATGTAAAGTAAATAAAAGTAAAATGAGTACATAAGTAACTAAACAAATAAGAACATAAGTAAAACAATCACTGCATCAACTTAGTCAACAAGGAAAAAAAAGATGTATTATAAACGCCATACTTTCATTTTTAGGCATGATATATCATTTATCAATTACAATTCGAATGCGATGTACGATTTTGTTTTCTCTTGGAATCAATAAAGAGAAATTAATAAAATTTTTAGATCTAAATAATATATTGTTAATCTCTACATTTTTATAATGTATATCTAATATCAATTTGATTTAGAATTTTGTCGATTCTCCAAGTAAATATCTTACAAATTTTGTAGACTACTAAAAGACGTTTTAATATTGTTCAGATCATTGTTTTTAAGCATTTATGATATTTATACAATTCAATTTCAATTCAATTCAATTCAATCTTTATTTCATTCCCCTTCCGGGGCTGGAAAGGCGTTTTTTCCAGTAAAAACGTTCCCAAAAACCTTTACATTTTATTTCTATTATCTTATTTCCTGCCTGGCCATTAGCGACCTTACATTTTCCTTTTTCCCCTCCCTCTTTCGTTCCATGTCCCTCTGTTTCTCCTTCCCGCTCCTTCCGCTCCACGCTCCTTCGTCCTCCCTCGTCTTGTCCGGTCCTTCCTCTTCTTTCATCCCTCTTTCTCCCGTGTCCGTTGTCCTCCTTTATTCTCCCTCTCTGTTCTAGATATGAAATTATATTATTTTTCCTATATTCCTATCCTTACCTTCTTCTCCTTTTCCTTTTCCTCTCCTCTGCCGTTATTCCTCCTTTCTCTTCTCCTTTCTCCTTTCTATCTTACATTTTCCTATTCTCCTTTCTTTCTCCTTGCTTCTTCCTCGTCCGATTCCATCAGCAGTTTCTCCTCCATTCTCCTCACGATTTCTTCCTCCGCTATCCTCCTCGTCCTTCCGTCTTCTTCTCCTCTCCTCTCTTTTTTCCTTTCTTTTTCCTCTCTTTCTCTTATTCTCTTTTCCACTGACTTATCTTCATCCATTTTCACTTTTATTCTGTTTCCTTCTCTCCTTCTTGCGTCCAGCACCTTCCATTTGTCCTCCTCACTCCTCATCTTCACTAGTATTGTTATCCATTCTCCCCTCTGTTC